CACAGTATATGATACCACGCCTCGATGTCATCGCGTGAACGTGCACAGCTGAGCTACACAATGAGAGCCCTTGGCCCTGGGTCCCCTCCAAGAACAGCCCGGCTGGCCTTCATTCCGAAGCACTGAGCGCCAAGACGGTAATCCCGAGAAAGCGAGCCAAACCAATCATGGGGTTTGGGCGCCGCCAACAACACCATGGCCGATGGGGAGGCCACGACTGGGGGTTTCCGGTTTCCTGGTCAAATCTGTCGAAGGGTCGATTTTGGAATGGCATAGCTTGCAATCCAGGGTTGTGTGGCTCCATCCGATTCAAGCGCGCCCAAAGGACGCAGATGAACTACTCGCGAAGCCTCGCCAAAAAAGTCAACAGTTCGACCTCCCTACGCCCTCGTCATGTGGGGCTGCCACATCCAGTTCTCCAAAGGTGCCGAGACTTTACACATGCAACAACTGCACAGTCATTGCAGCACATGCAGTCGATGCCCAGCAGTTTCAGCATGTACTCTTCCAGCACTTGCAACTTTCCCGCCCAATCCACACCAACACAGCGCTTCCCTGGGTTAAAGTACTGAGACAGTACATGTTCCTGCATGCCCGTTTCTGTGACTAGGCTGACCCGACATGGGTACGCCCTCTGAAGCCGCCTGGCGACAGAGTTTCTAATTGAAGCCTTTGGGTCTGGAGTCTGGAGTTTCTGCATTTGGATTCTGGGTGTTGGCTTTGATTTGGTTTCTAATCTTTGGTTTCTGGGTTGCGAACGCGTGGATAGTTTCGTTGAGCGCAGCGAATGATTCGGTTTGCGAGTGTCAGTGAGTACTGCTTTGCCGCCCAAGGCTGCATGTGGCGGTCGATGCTTTCTCGCCCGGCGCGGCGCATCGCGCCATGGATTCATGCAGGGAGCCGCGCATCGGCTAGCAACCAGAACACAGGTTTTTGATCACTCACCGCGCAGTTACCGGTGTGAAACCTTGCAATTGTGAAGCCAGCCCTTGCCTAAGTAGGGTCAGTAGCCCGAAGACCGGGAGTGTGGATGTGTTTGCTAAGGCTGGGTCTCGACACCCTCGCGCACGTTCTGCCAGCCGCTTTGCCTGCAGTTCTTCCGAGCAGCATCTTACCACCGCTCGGAAGTGTGTAAAGCCCACTACAGTTACTCTAAACCTGGCCACTTAACTTTTTCAACCTAAGACAACCCTCAATCCTACAGCTGCAGGTGAGAAACTCCTCAGCAGCTGAGGCCGTGCTGAAGCAGCCACAACTGAAGGCGCAGCAGCGGGCCTCCCTGGCGATGCGGCTGAGGTCCCGTTTGGCTCTACTTAAATGCTAGGGTTGGGTTGAAAAATTTAATGGGGTCTAGCGTTCAGTGTACCTAGAGGGCTTTTCGTTGGAGCATGTGAAGTATGAGTACTTGGTTCTATGCCTCCTCGCGGTTAAATTAATGGTATGTTTACTGCTGTTCAGGCTTCAACAGAGGCTCAAAGGGGCTGAGCCACATGCGCAGATTGCCATCAATCCGGATGCCATGCGACTCTTTGAACCCAGCTGTTGAGAGGCGGCTCCTGCATGAATGCATTTCCATCGGCACCTCGGCTTGAGGGGACTTCAAAGAACCTCGGTGCTTCGGATTTCTGGCTGTTCAGGGGTGGCGAGTGAGATGTGTGGAGTTAGCTCCGACTGGACCCTTGATGCGCTCTTACAAGCATCGGCACTTCGTTCGTGGGCCTGGTCGAAGGTGACGCTTCGGCACTTCAAGCTTGGGATGCTGCCCTCGCAGCATCTGCGGCCACAGCCACAGCAGCTCGGCAAACGCTGACTTCATCAATTTTGGCATTTTGGCCGTGGAGCTAGGTCCATCTGAGCCGAGCTTAGGAGCTTGGGTTGAAGGGGCTTCTGGTCCTGGGTCTGGGTGCTCGGATTGATCTCGGGCACGTTGCGGCTGTTCCGTGCTGGGTTGGCGTCGTGATGGACGTGCACGTAATTACTAGAGACCTGCATGTCGGGCAGAACGCATGTGTGTATTGTGTGTGTATGTATGTATGTATGTATGTATATATAATTATTTATTTATATTTATATGTATATACGGATGCATGCATGCACATGCGTACACATCTCGGCGCTTGCTTGCCGTAGCTTACAGGACTCCACGAACGAGCAGCCAAAAGCAGCCAAATAAGGTGCAGCCCAGCGCGGGCATTGCAGAAGGTGGGATCCGCAAACACTCCGCGGTAGTTTTTGGAAAACAGGGTTTTTTTCAAAATTCTGGGCGCCAGGTGTACGTAGATCCGGCTCTTCAGCGAATTCTTCGGAGCACAGTATGAGAGAGCCCTAGTGCCATGTAGACTCCAGCACTAGCACGTTCTGTAGACTTCCACCGGCTGCATGCAAGCCTTCGACGGCCACAAAGCACGCTTGAGCGCAGCAACATTATCTGGCGACCGCCGGAGCTTGCTGCCCTCTTTATAGAGATGTGGCCATACCTGCCTTTGCAGGAAAGAGCCCTAGCCTCGCACCCTTCTTGTCACGGCTCACATGTCATATGCCTTCAGACCGCAAATTAACGGACACACCCCTGCAATCCTGCCCCAAGCAAACATCGAACTCTCGACCGCCGTACTATGCCCATAACAAGTGCATGTCTTGTAAAATCTCGAGGATTCACAAGGCGAGAATGCCACGACTACTGCAAGTATGTCCATTGTTGCGAAAGTTGTCCGGTTGTGCTGCCAAGACTCTTTTGCTTCCAAGTCCTTGAGCGACGAGGTGCCTGAAGTACTCCAAGAGCTGTAGGAGCTTACTCGAGTGAGGTTACTTGAGAATTTCACGTAAACCCTGTACCTGAAGCTCCCACTGAAGTCACTTCAGAAGGTCCCTCAGTCCTTACAGTGCCTTACAGTTCGTGCACAAGCAAATACCCCAGTTTACGAGCGGTTGATAGAACTCCTACAACACCCCACATCAAAACAAGAAACCTTAGCACCGGAAAGTGTACAACCAAAGCCCCCCCCCTCCCCCCCCGGCCCTCGGCCCGGCGTAACAATGTCGTTCAATCCCCTGAATCCGTACTTCTTCGAAAACCCGCAGCTTACGTGAGAGGCCACAGCGCTTGGTGCCCCGTCCTCGGCTTCCTGGATTTCGTGGAGGCTGCTGACTTCACGTTTCTTCACTTGCCAAGGAACCCGCAAGGTGAAACCAATTGCTGGGTATGTGAGAATGTAGAATGCCAAACCCAAGATAAGTTAACCTGCAGTCGGCGATTCGAGATCTGATAATCCTACAAGGGTATGAACATGTGTAGAGATGCCCAGAGCAACCCAGCAATTCTCGCCGGCAGTTGGGTATGGCCGGGGAATGATATACTAACACAACTTGATGAAGCCACTCCGTCTTTTTCTTCACTCCTTGCTATGTACTCCACCCTAAACCCGATGCCGCCATGGGCAGGTGCTGGAGTCGGGACTGCCTGTCCGAACCCCGAGTGGGCCCTGAAACGGACACTTCCGGTTGCTTTTGGGACTGTTGTTTACGAATTGCCCCCTAAACGGGATCTATAGTAAATAATACGATTTCCGTATTATTATAACTTAAATAAAATCCCCAGACTGGGGCTTGCGGCTTCAGATTGCAAGGGTCTCCCCAAAATTTTAGCTCCAAAGCTGACTCCTGGGTGAAACCGGGGACTGAGGCCCATTCCAGTCTCTTTGAGATTCACTTAGCTGACGCTTGGAGGTTCAGCTGTGCCACTATCTTGCAAGTTGTTGTGATGTTCACATATATGGCGGGTTTGCAATGTGCTTTGAGGTCTGGTGAAGGCGCAACCTAAAGCCATACTCCTAAAAAACGTACTTCCTTTTGACCCAGCCTCCTGTTGCTGTAGCTTGTGTCAGAACTTGCATGAAGATGCACGATAATCCCAGCTTCAACGACCGATGAGTTCTAAATAAATAAGAGTTCTCATGAAGGCACGGGTGCGTATGTATTCACGGCCCACACTGTAAGTAGGTGCACATGTAGTTGGATTCGAAACTGTCTTGAGAGCGTTGACTGTTGTGGTAGCTTGTCTTCCGGAATTGCTTTTCTGCTTCAAAGTCCCTCAAGCTGTCTTCACCTTGTCGCAGGCCAGCACCCTAAACCTAACCTTCGAATCCGAAGCCCGAAACCAAAAAAGGCTGAAAACCCTAAGCCCCAGAAACCTAAGTTCTCTTTTCTCGAAACCTCCCAAGCCCTTCGGCTCGAAGAAACCTTGGCCCAGAGCCCATGCCCCAAGGCCCCCAACACTTCCCCCATGCCCTGAAACCCCAAAATAAAACGCAGAAAAAGCCCCATATGTGCTCTTGACATCCCGCAACGTCCTACAAAGCCCTAAATCCTGTTGGAAGCCTATAAGACCCTCGCGTCTTCTTGAGGCCGTAAGCCGCAGCTTCGCGCGGCTATCTTTCAGCGCCGCCACGTGGGTGACCTGGGTTTCGGTTTCTTTTGTCGGAATGAGCTCGGGCTTAGGGGGTTTAGGGAATGTTTGCAGCCAGTCGGTTTGAAGAGGTTCCGAATGGGGGATCTCGCGTGGAGTTGGCGCCTCTGGACCTGAGCTTGTGGTAGGTAAGCTTGCTTTGTCCGGCTTGAATAGTTATCTATTTTTTGGGGGGGTTCTTATCATAATTACAGTAGAATCTATCCTAAAACCCCCTATTCTCATCATTAAGGCCCCTACATTGCTCCCGAGAAAGATCCAAAAGGCTGACCTTGAGATCCCCCAGGAAACTGGACAAGCACTCTAGGGCTTTGACCCTGAGAACCGCAGGTTTGCAGACTGCGTCCCGGCCGGTTCCGGTCGGGGGCGATCCCAAATACGAGTTGGTGAGTATAGTCCTTTTTGAAGGCCTACTCTACAGATTAAGGCCCCTGTATTACATGTTTTCTGTCTCGCCGCAGTTTGTAAAGTCAAGCCTTGAGCAGTCAGAGAACTGCTCACTGCTCTTTCTGAGGGTTTCCGGTGCTTTCTGTGCATGGTGCAGCTTCTGAGCTTGGTCGTCGTCTTCGGCGTGGCCGCTGCAAGCAACATCAAGGTGAGAGCTTCCGCTTTGGTCTGTTGGGGACTTTGAATATTTCCGGGCAGAGTCTTGATTTCCGAGAGTGGTGTTCCGTTCTTTGCCTTGCAAGTTCTTCGTGACTAGTTTCTGTCCTCGTGCATAGTCTTGATTTGGGGGGGGGGGATTTGAGAAGGTTGTACAGCGGGGTGAAGGGGTGTGCATGTTGGCTGGCAACTTCGCAAACTCTTTGGCCTGTATTGCTTCTCCTTGACTAGAGTCTAGAGATGGGTGGAATCAAGTCAGAACGTCCAACGAGAGCTTCAAGAGCATGAACGCATCCTAAGAGATCAACATGAAAGCCGTCCTTGTACATCAGAAAGGTGGCGTCGAACGACTATGCCTTTACTCTGGTGAACCTCCTCACGGGAAAGGGAGCCTGTTGGGGTGACGTGGGCTTCGGTGGTAACTGCACTTCGGTGGACTTCTCCAACGTGCAGCAGGTGCGGCGGGAGTGTCACACACCAGGGGGCTTGGTGCATAGAAGACTGATTATGGAGCGGGGCTGCACCTGTTCCGTCATCTGCATAGAGCAGCACCGAAGACATGAGATCATGTAGATTCCCATCTTCAATAGGGGTTATCATGGCTTTCGTCTTCTGTCGGTGGAAGGTGGAAGCCAATGCCTTCGCCTTCCTTGCACTCAGCAGTGGCGGCGGCGAGTGCTGGGGAAAAGACGACAATGGAGGCAAGGGATCGTTCTTGACATCGGTCGATACTGCATTTTAACTTGCATGGCACTTCGCGACAGTTTCGTTGAGCACAACATTATGTTTAGTAGCACTGCATCTGGTCACGGCTGTATTGCATCCAAGCGTGTTTGTCTGCCAAGTGGCGCTGCAGTTTATGGCGGCTTCATTTCGGCCTGCAGACGTTCAGTTGTCGATGATTGGCATATGGGGTTCCGCAGGAAGATCTTCAGTGCTCGTTTATGCCTCGTCTCCTGTGGTCGCTCTGCCTCCATAGCCGTAGTTCCCAGACTTCCTCTTTGGGCCTGTCAGGCTTGTAAATGACAACTTTGTGCTAGTCTTAGGCACACGTCCTTGCAGCTTGGATTGCTTGACCTCCGACTCTCCTGTGGCATTCTCCTCTCGAGTTGGGCCCTCTTGAGCTTACTCTTTTGCAGACCTGCTGCGCGGAAAAAAGCATGCTTTGCTGTGCGAGTGCGACTGCTGCGTTTGCTTAGAGTAAACACGTCTATTTGCTCGGCCTGGAAAGCAGTGAGAATCACAATAATCGTCCCCATCACAGTGGACGAACATACAAACATGGCAATATACAGCCAGAACTGTCATCATGGTCATGACAGCAGGGGTGGGAACAACGACCACGGCAACGATAATAAGCTGCGAAGAGCAACAACCATGGCAAGCAGAATGGCAATACTAACCAAAGCCAACCCTAAACCGAAACCGTGAACAGTGACGCACACCCCACCTGATGGGCTCAACTAAATCCATAAACCGCTAAATCCCTAGCCGCTAGCCCTGAAACCCGCTAATCCTGAAAACCCTAAACCCCTGTTGCTCTCAGCTGGGCAAGGCGACTGCTCCGGCTTGGACCTCGCGGGAATGACCGAAGTCGCCACCACGGACTACAGCTTTGCGGCGCTGGATCCGGTGAACGGCCGAGGCGAGCGGAGGGCTGCGGCTTTAGGATCCAGGATTTGGCTTTGGGGTGCAGGGCGTGCTTGAAGGGTTTAGGGACTAAGGTTGTGCCATATAGGGAAGCCCAAGATGGACCTTGAAGTCAAGCCCCAAGAGCCCTGAACTGAGACTCTAAACCGCCGAACCCTGACCCTCCGCCCGCACCTTAACCAGCTCACTAAGCCCAGAACTTTGAGGACTGTGCTTCGGCTCGTCGGCATATGGTGGCGAGTGCGGCGGAGTGGACTTCTCGCAGGTCAGCAAGATTTACGGGAATCTCTTGGCCTTTGCATCTCGGCAGACCAATGCTTGTGGTTCCGTCATCAGTCTGCTCGTCTTTCTGATATCTGATGGCTTAGGCTCGAGAGTCGAGTTTGCTACCTGTTGCCACTGTGTTGTTTCCGGCTGGCCACTGAAACCACCCACGCAGCAAGTGCAACGCGGCGTCCCCCAAAGAACGAATCTAGATATCTTGCAGGTCTGCCTCATTCAAAGCCCCGTTGCCAGCATTCATAACACAGGTGGCGATTGGCGGCAACTCGGGACAGTGTTGGGGTCACAGCTCCTTTGGCGGAGACTGCAGCACGGTTGATTTCACTGGCGTCACCGAGGTCCGGCTGCTTCAGTATGAGGGATGCACTATTAGTATGTGTATGTGACATATGCATGTATGTATGTATGTACGTACAATTTCAAGGGATCTGCATGAGTGTAATAAGGAGTATGCCAGTTGGAATAGCTGGGGAAAGCTGCAGTTTGTTTGCGGCCACAAGCCTTTGATTCGTGGGGTCCCTAGGATCTCGCCCCAGGTGGTAGCGGGAGACTACGCATTTGTGGCCTTGAACAAAGCTGCGGGCACCATCCGATGCTGGGGCTTTGGCCTGTATGGAGGCGTTGGGGGACGGTTTCGGTTTCGGATTTACACTGTATTGCCGTAGGCCTTCTTCATCGTAGTTCATGTTGAATCGGCTGATAGGCTGCTATGCAGGAATCTTGGGCTGATCAGTTGTGCGACCTCTGCCAAAGGCGATTGCAGTGCCGTCACTCTGACGGGCATCACAGACGTGTACACCAACGGCCAGGCCTTCTTGGCATTGAACCGCAACAGCGGTCAGGGCGAGCCACTCGCCTTTCCCCGAGAGGAGTTTGGCAGAGTGTTGGCGTTGTGTGATGTCTCTTTTACTCCGCCTGGGGTGATTCAGAAGCACTGGCGCATTCACATCCGATTCATTATGGGTGTAGCTGTGTAACTCCAAAGACGCGAGTCCTCGCCAGCGTAAGTGGAACCTCAAGCCTGCTAAAGCCTAAGTCGCAAACCCCAAACCTGATACAAGTAGCATTATATTATAACCTCGTAAGCCCTAAGCAAGGTGTTGGGGTAACGGCCAAGCCGGCGGCGACTGCAGCAGCATCGACTTCTCGGGCGAGGCGCGCGGATTAAGTATCCCATTAAGCACAGGGGCCAGCCGGCATACTTTGTTCATTTAAAGAGTTTGCAGAGTTTTATAAGGGTTGTATTTGGCTGTGATAAGGGTTTTCGACGGGTTTTATGGTCAGCTAGGGGTTCCTTACGATTTGTAGAATATACCCAAAAGCCCTACTCGAACTGTTAAGGACCCCGAAATAAGGCAAGACTCTGATAGAATTCTTCGTTTGGAAGATTCCCGGCTCTTAGAGGACAAGCTTGTCGCTGACTCGTTCAGGGTCCCTGGGCCCACATTACTAAGCTTGCTGCTTGTACTACTGCAAAGTACCTAATTATAGGGTCCTCTGGGCACTCTTACACCCTAATCGCCCTAATCCCGTGATGTCCGCTTCAAGGTGCAAATCTTCTCCACCAACTCTGCTTTCCTCGCCCTCAAGAGTGGCAGCGGTCAATGCTGGGGCAACCCAGATAACGGAGGCGACTGCAGCAATGCCACTCGAATCCAAAAAATCTTGCCATATCGCAGTTAGGGCGGAGGAAAGAGAAAGAGGAAAGGGGCATGGGGCAGCGCGGCGGGTGGGGGAATAGGGAGGGTTAAATTTTGAGATCCGGTGTTTCATAGAGCTTGCCATCTCTAGCCTCAAACTGAGGTCTTCTTTACCAGCAATTCCCAGATCTACCACACCAGTGCAGCCTTCGTGGCTTTGGATGCTGTGAACGGCCTTGCGCGGTGCTGGGGCCACGCATCTTTCGGAGGTGGGATGTCAGAGTGGAAACTTGGGTGCTGGCGGGCTGCTCCGGACATGGCTCCTACAGCGGCGATAGCTGAAGTTAAAAGTAATGAAAACACCCAGGGCAGTCGTGCACCTGATGGTCGAGTTTGCTAAATCTGCTGGAGTCAGAGTAAAGAGGTTTGATTGATTGTGCACAGGATTCATTGTAAATACCACGACATAGACCATTCTTGGCTCCGCAAGCCAAGGAGGGGAAGCATAAAGGCTTGCTCTTGCTTCTCAAGTACCTTGGTCCCTCTCGAGCGGTTTGCTCTTGTTTCTCAACATACTCTAGTCTACTTCGAGTGGTTTGCTTTCAGTTTCTCAACTACTCTTGAGTCCTTTTCGAACGGCGTGCTCTTTTTGTTCATTCAAAATACCCTAGTCCCTTTCGAGCGGTTTGCTCCCTGTTCCTCAAATACTCCCGCGTTCTCAGGATGCTCTCGTCGCTTTCGAACAGCTTGCTTCCTGTTTCTTAGTGCCTTTCGAGCGTTTGGTCCCTGCTTCTCACAATACTCTCGTCCCCGTCGAGCTGTGCTTTTCCGGCTCCTGTTGCTCAAACACTCTAGTCCTTTTCTTTCGAGCGGTTTGCTCCTGTTGTGCTCCAGTGCGTTTCGAGCGGAGCGGTGTTGCTCCGGTGCAGTTCCTTTTGAGCGGTTTGCGTCATTATCGTCGAGTTGCTCCCATGTTTCTCAGATGTTCTAGAGCTGTTTTCTCCTCATTTGTCAAGTGATTGAGTCTTTTCGAGCGGTCTGAAACATGCTGGTTGCTTTCGAGCGGTTTGCTCCTGTTTCTAGAAACTTCTTTGCTCACTTTCCCGCGGTTTGCTCTCCAATCCTCTGGTCCCTTTCAAGGTTGTTTGCCAATTTTTTTGCATGCTCTAGTCCCTTTCGGGCGGTTTGCTCCATTTGCTGCAAAATGCCAATGCCCTAGTCCTTTGGAGCGGCTTGGTTCCTTGTCTATACTCGTTTAACTCCTTTCGAGCGGTTTGGCGTCTTTTTTCTTAAAAGCTTTGGTCCTTTTAGAGCAGCGTGCTCCTTCTCAAGTGCTCTGGTCCCTTTCGAGGCTTGCTGCACCTTTTCAATCGCTCAAGTTCCTTGTGTCTCTTTCGAACAAACGCCAGGCGATTGCTCGGGCATTTCCTTCGAGGGCTTCACCAACGTGTATGCCACCGGCTATGCTTTCATGGCCATGAATCCGGCTGCTCCATCAAAATTATCCCCAGGACATAGCCACATACTGCAAACCCAGGTGCTGCTGTGGCCTTAGCAAGCAGAGATCTGTAATGAATACCTGGCCCCCTTCCCCAACAAAGCACGTGCACCATGATGTGAGTGCAATTTAGTATTTCTGGAGCCTAGATGAGCCACGCCACAGCCATATTAATGGCATGCGGCATGCGTGCCTGGGATCGATGATCCCCCGCAAGGGGCCCTGCATAGATTTCGTTTTTTCCTACCAGAATGCCGTCCATCTCGTGGGGCTTGCTCGCTCAAGGCTCCATGCACATGTCAGGAACAGGAGCCCTACTTCCTGCCCAATCCGTCTGAAGACCTCGGGGGAACCACTTCAATCACCACTTCATGGACAGTGTCGGCTAGTCTAGTCTGGTCTGGCAATGTCTGGCATCCGAGGTAACTGGAGTCGCCAGGTGTTGGGGCTCTCCGGGCTTCGGTGGGGAGTGCAGTGGCGACTTCACGGGCTTCGAGGTGTACTCCAATGAGTTCGCCTTCGTGGCCGTGAGCGCAGAGGAAGTGCGTACCTGGGGCAGCAGTGCCCAGGGAGGCGATGCCAGCAATGTGAATTTCCCACCGCTGCTGGAGATGCCGACCACCGTGACAGAGACCACCATCACTGCAACCAGCACGGAAACTACAGCCACCGCCACCAGCACCGCGACTGACACGACGCTGTCGACAACGACCGTGACGACAGTGACCGACACGACGCTGTCAACCACGACGGTGACCATGGCCACTGCCACCACCACTGTGACCGACACGACGGTGTCAACCACGACGGTGACCACGGCCACTGCCACCACCACTGTGACCGACACGACGGTGTCAACCACGACGGTGACCACCGCCACTGCCACCATCACGGTGACATCCACCACGGCCACTGCTACCACCACTGTGACCGACACGACACTGTCAACCACGACCGTGACCACGGCCACTGCCACTACCACGGTGACCGACACGACGCTGTCCAAGACGGCCACCGCCACCACGACAGTGACTACGGCCACTGTCACCATCACAGAGACCGACACGACGCTGTCAACCACGACGGTGACTACGGCCACTGCCACCACCACAGTGACCGACACTACGCTGTCAACCACGACAGTGACTACGGCCACTGCCACCATCACAGTGACCGACACGACGCTGTCCACCACCACCGTGACCACAGTCACTGCCACCAGCACGGTGACCGATACGACGCTGTCAACAACCACCGTGAGCACGGCTACTGCAACCAGCATCACTACACTGTCCACCACGACGGTGGTGGCGGATCCCGCGGCAACACCTGCCACCACCACAACGACTGCGGCACCGTCAAGCCACTCGTCGAGCAGTTTGTGTGCTGGTTTCTGCGAGTTTGCAGGCAAGCTAAGTGTATTCAGCAAGTCTGCCTATAGCAAGTGGTGGGGAAGCAGACTTTGTGGACCTTCGCGCCAAGTGGGAAAATTCGCCGTCTAATCCTAATCGTCTCAGGTGGGCAATGCCGCTCTTGGTGCACCTTCTTTGTCGGCGCCTGGAGTCGTGTTTGCGCGACTAGGCTTGTGGTATACTATCTGCCGATTTTGAGCGGCCCACCACAAGTCATCGTCAAGCCCTTGTAAGAACCTCCCGCCCGCTCTCAAACCCACTGGCTCCGGAAATCTCTATAAAAACGTGCGGCAGACTCTTACCTTATCTTACCCAAAACCCACGCACCCCAGCACCAAACCGCCCATTGTCGTCCGTTCGCCAAGGACTGGAGGACATGCTCTGGCTGTGACAGGTGGGAGCTGCCAACAACAAGGGACCCCGAATGTAGCATAGAAGCCGAAATCAGTAGTAGGATTATTCCAATGTTTAGTTCTACAATTAACATAGCCCAAGCCCTTTTCTTGCAGTAGGTAGTCCTTACTAGAACAATGGTGTAATACCTTCCGAAAATCCTCTTCGACCTACAGACCCCACCATAATCCTTAACCGGTAGGATGTCAGCATTTAGCCTACCAACGCGTTCCGCGGCTCAGACAGGTTCTTCCCTTACTGCGTTTTACAGAATTACACAGGACAGACGTCTCCTGCAGCCTCTAAGTCGCACGCGCCCTCGTCATGTTTGGCCAACCTTGATAACGTCCACCCAGACTCCACCCTTCACACACAGCATCCATGAGCCACCGTTGATGTAACCTCCACCCAGACCCCATCCGTTCTATCCATGGGCCAACCGTGATAACGTCCGCGCTCAGAAGTCTTGTTGGTGGGGCTGTCGTCGTGCATTCCAAGGGTTTGTGTTGGGATGATTCTTTTATCAAAGCAGCATCCCAACATGAATAGGTTTTCACTCACAGCGTCTCATCCTCTGCGGACCCAAAACCCTAAAATTATTGAGGCCCTCTACGTTATCCCCAAATCTTCCGAGATTTACCAGGTGCCTTTCGGAGCCCGAGCCGGAGCCAGAGTTGCCTTCTTGCCGCCTCGCGCAGGATTCAGCTTTGCAAGTTCAGGGGGACCCTTCAGGCCATCGTTTTAAGGGCTCCTTTGAGAGTTCGGGGACCCTCTTGTAGGTACTCCGCTTGGTGTGCTCCTGAAACACATCATGAAACAGCTGGGGCATCCTCACCTGTCAGAGCTCTGCCGCGAACAACCCGAATCTGAGGGAAGTGGAAGTGGGTAGATGCTGTCCTTGTAAGGCTCACGTTCTTGTTGGCCTTTGGCGACATCTGCTTAGGCAGCAACAGCTGCGAGAAGTACAAGGGCCGGGCACGTGGTGATGGCGACTTGGCCATGTAACGCCAGAGCAGGTTCGGTTCCACTTCTGCTGGATTTTGCGTGTCGGGCAAGTTGGAAGTACCTTCGGGGAAGTAGCTTTGCCGATTGATCCAGCGCACTTTCGACTGTTGGGGATACCAGGCTGACAGGTCGCTTGCTGCCTCAGCAGGGGAAGAGAATTCTGCTATAGCAACGGTCTGGCAGCCACCCCAAGCTCCTGAACCAAGAACGAGGGATGAACAGCCGAGAGCTGGCAGGATACAAGAGCTACGAGTTCCTCTGTGTCCGTGAGCGGCGAAAGGGTAACTGGTGCCTTGATGTTGTTTGTGCATGCTCAATTCCCTTCGGGTCTAAAGTTCCCAGTGGCTTCGCTGACACTTTGGGATGCATGTAGTTCCACACAGACTCGGCGGCATCAGAGACAGGCCTCTGGAACTGCCACAGATGCCACAGCCTCTGACTCCACAGACCATGCCCGCCTTCGGGATCAGAGTTTCCGTGCCGTGCCCTTCCCCGCCTCCTTGTTGGAGGTGCTACCCGCCGCTGCCATGGTCGAAGAAGTGCTGGCGGGGCTACTCTAAGTGCCGGGTGGAGGCCTCCCGATGCACACGGGAGGGAGACCCAAGAGCCAAAGCCCTTTTAGTTTGAGAAACCTATAGGCCTTAGAAAACCTAACCTCCGAACTCGCAAAACTGATCCGAAAACCTAGGCTCCCTGTTTCGGGGGTTGCAGGGAATCCCACGGTGGAGATTCGGACCCCGTAGTTTCTGAAAGCATGAATCTGCCGTCTGTTTTGGAGGAGACCCAGGAGAACCCGGGAACGTGGCTTGGCTGGCCAAGGTGACAGTTTCAGAGGTCTTGGGTTGGGGCATGTTGGGGCTCTCCAGGAGTGAAGCAAAAGAAAAGCCAAGCTCCTCCTTGGAAAGGAGCTGGGGGCTTTAGGGTTACAGGTATAGGCCAGCTGTCCCCATGATCCTCAGCCTCAGGTCGCGGCGCCTGCGCGGCTCTCATTGAGTGCCCGAGGTCGCTTGGCCCCCCACCGGATTTCAGAAATCTCAGAGACGCCTTGGCTTGGGTATTGATGCTAATGTTGCTTTGTGTACGATTGCCCGTGTTCTGCCGTGGGGATCTCCTGCATCGTTCGTATCCAGGCAAAGCCAAAAGAAAGTTGCTGAATCAGTGAAGTATGAAGAAACTGGTCACTTGAGGAAAGGGTCTTTGCACGTGACCCATGAAGGTGTGCTAGTGGTTTGGGTCTTTGGGTCTTTCATCTTTCGCCTAGGGTTGATCTGTTAAACTGCACCAGTTATTGCCAACAATGTCTTCGCAGCCCCACACACAAACACAACCTGTCACGGAAGCTACGTATGGTCCACGTGCGTACATAAGGTCGTGTGAGGCATGCCTAGAAATTGTCCGATGTCGTGATGTCGTCCTTGATCCTTGACAAGCTCGGCGTGTCGAGGCTGACGTTGCCCGTGGCCTTTGATCATTGGCTCCGGAGCGTTTTCCACGAGGCGTTTGCAAAGCCGTCGGATGGTCAGCCCCGACGGGCTCTCGTCGCTCCGAAAGCGTGAGCCGCTTTTCCCTGCGGTCGCTACGAGCACCACCCACCGGTGGTGGTGGTTCATGGCGGGGTTGCAGACGATGATGTTTTTTCGTGGCATCATGACTAGTGGAGAACTGACCTGTATACCTGGGCGATTAGGGTTTTGGTGGCAGATGGCAGTATGTCAATAACTGTGCTTGCAGCTCGGGGCTCACGAGAGTACAAGCAGTCCTCGACCTTTGTCCAGCCTTGATCCTGGGGCTCAGTCGAACCGAATCCTGCCTCTGCAAGTAATGCAAGACTGTTGAGTCATCAAGATCGGGCAGTGGTTTTGCATCTACTGCCAGACATCCAGGAGTCTGCAACCCTTAAGACCTGCAAGTTCTATGCCTGCTGATGCTTGTCTTGAGCAGATGGCTGCAGTGAGGAGCGCTGCAGCTGATTGCTACGACAAGGCACCAAACTTTCTTTTGTAGTCGTTTCGTGGAGGCCATGGACAGGCGGCATGCGCTGATCTGAGCAGATGGCACAGTTCTGCCCCTTCTCTCCAACGTGACGAGACCATGGCTTTCACTCTGCCAAGGAGACGAGGAAAGATGATCCATCCCCCCCCCCAGCAATTGCTTATCGAGACTACAATCACAGGGCGTGACCTCTTCATGTTTCCCCATGCAATCATGAAGAGTATGCATTTGTGTAAGCAGGCAGGGTATATACAAGCATATACACTTGCACGTCTCCTGGGTTTGCTTACAACAATTGTATCGTGGGTGCACTTGAAGTGCTCTTGGTGGTCTTCAGTGGTCTTCCGTCGCTTGGTGGTTACATGAATTCACGTATGCATCTCATCTGATTGAACTCATGTCGATGTCTGCATTTGTGATTTGAGTCGTTCAGGTATGTAGGTGTACTTCTGCAGCTTCTGCAGATATTTGTGAGCTTACGTGCTCGTGCTGCTTCGTAGTTTCAGTTTGCTTTCGGAGTACTTCCTCGTCCTCTTGAGAGTGGTGCTCCGGCACCACGAGTGCTGTTTAGTGAGTTGAGTGTTTAGGATGCTGAGCCGCCTCCCCGCTGGTGAAAGGACCAACCAGTGTCTCGACCTCAGTTCGGGGAGTTCGGTTCCGCATTCAGTGCCCAGACCGTTGACGACATCACCGCAACTTTTCGGCGAGATGCGGGAGGATCCAAATGAGCTGACGAGTCCGGGGCAGCACACATGAACCCTAAAGCTTGAGTTGTCGAACCTCCGCGATCACATGCTTTTGGCTTTCGTGCTGCGATGGCACAGAAAGTACTTTCAAACATGGCAGATCGCTTGTCAGGTCCTGTCGCAAACCAACAGTACTCAGCTGTGACAGCTTCGTGCCTCGAAACCCGAGCATCCTGAATAGCTGATGAAGCCGTTTATTTCCAGGAGGGCCACGACATCACCTTCCAAGAAGTTCATTTCCATGACCTCGCCCGAACTGGTTGGCCGTGCCCCAAGACTGCTTGCTCGCTTTCCGCATGGCCCCAGCCCGAGTTGGTGTGGGTCCACGACACCATCAGGGACCTCGACGGGGGTATTGATGAAGGCAGGTAGGATTGAGGATTTCCTATATAGAGACTCGTCATGTGGGATACCCTGACCTATACCTTCATCCCACCTCTTACGAAGGCTTTCAGCCCTCAACAGCAATGCGAGACTGCCGTGGCCGGCTTTTGTTCTGTGGCAGAGTTGCTTCACTGCCAAGTGTCCGCGTGGCCGCAAGCCCTTCAACGTTACAAGCCTTAAGCCTTCAGTTCCTGAACCTCTCCAATCGCCAAAACACTCCCTAAACAATCCTATGGAGACCCTTTCCCCTGTAAGAATCAGCTTACAGTAAGAAGCAACATCTCGGAACCGCCGACCCAGAAAGCTTCAAAAGAAGGGCTTCTGGGCCTTAAGCCACAAGTGCAGGTGCCGAGCACTTTCCCTGCTTTCGAGCATTGACCGAGCCAGGTGGGAGTCTCCCGACGTGTTCTACAGGGGTAGTTCTCTAAAGTAGGGTCCCTTTTAGGGTCCTTTTTACAAGGGTGCCGTACTATATTGGGGACCTAAAATGGGACCCTAATTTAGGGAACTAGCCCCATAGGTCAACACAGCGATGTGGACTTCTAAAAGGAGTTTCCGAATTTCGGCTCTTTTGGGGCTTTATGACGGCGTTGTTATAGACTTGTTTCGCTTTCATGGGTTTCTTAGCATGTGGCGTCCTGGGGTCGAAGGATCTGACTGTTTAGATCCAGGATGAAAGAGAGTACAACCAGGAACTTAAGGCGAGTGGAAGCTTGAAGCAGTCAAGCCTACGCAAAGAAACCCCCAATATCGAAGCCTGATGATAGAGCCCAACAGCCACCCACAACCCGGAAAGCCCCAAACCAAACCCTAGAACGCCTTCCCAGAAGCCTCCAGGACCCTTGCAAAGTACCTAAAAAGAACTGCGCTTTTCGACAGGAGCGTGCGCCTGGCCCTATAAACCCTAAACCCTACATCCCAAACCCTACGAATCCTAAGCCCTAACTCCTAAACCCTGGATCCTATAAATCCTATACACCCTATAAACCCCTATAAGACCCTCTAAAGACAGGAGCGTGCGCTTGGCCAGCTTCGCTGCGGGTGCGCTCCGTCGAGACGCCGCCGCGGCGCTTTCCGAGGCTCCCTGGGCTTCGCCCCCTTTTTTTGGGGTGTTTGAGGGCTTTTAGGGCTTTAGGGTTTTAGGGTTTTGGGTTGATGGATGCTGATGTTTTTGTCAAGGATTCGGGTTACTATCGGAGCGTACAAGCGGTTTAGGGCCGCGACTTCTTTGTAGCGTGTAGGAATGAGCGTCGTTCGTGGGTGCTTGTTCGGGTTTGAGGTTCCGGCTGTAGAAATGATACTTCTTGAAAGGTTGGAGAGCGGAGGGTGGGAAGGGTAGTTAGGGTTTAGATAGAAGAGCGTTTGCGTGGAGTTTCGGAGGGTTTTGCAGGATCTGGGGTGGTGTTTTGAGGCGTGTGGGTTCTAGGGTCCTACCGGGCGTTGGTTTTTTTTGAGAGGTGTTTGCAGGGGTAGAGGCTGAGGGTTGAGTGTCCTACGCTGTCGGCTTGGGGATCCCAACCGACTCCCCGAGTCCTCTTCGCATGTAAAGATGAAAGAAGCTCTTGGTGTAGGGTTTGGAGTTTACAGGCTTCGAGGAGTTCTCCTTGACTTGGGTTAACTCCTGGTGGAATTTCGCTTGAAGCTGAAGTGGGGCGAGCAAGACTCACGGAGACATGCAGCGGAGTCCGTGGGACCTTGAACACTTCCCCAAATATGTAATGAGTCTCGGAGACCCTTCTCTTGGTTCGTTGGGGGCCTTCCAGGCATGCCGGGATCGCTGCCCGGAGGCCGAGCAGGGGGGCCTCATGCCAGGTGAAGGGAAGTGCGCTGGGGTTTAGGGGCTTCTCGGTGCTTCAGGTGCTCCTTTTGAGTAAGTTTTGGCTCTCTCGCAATCCGGGATCAGGTGTCCAACTTAGGGTGTTCCTCAGCCTAGGCGCCGCAGGACGTCATGCAAACTCATGGATCACTGGATCATTCAGAAAGCTCCTCGCCTGGGAAATTGTCAGGTGGTGGTCCTTCCATGCAGTTTCTGCGAGGCTCGCAGCTCACAGCTGAGAAGCCCGTTCTCTCCTAAGCGTTATCGCCTGTGTGTGTGTGTTTGCTTGGGATTGAGCTTGGGGGCTCGACAACGGGGCAAAGATAGACCCTCCTTCCTGAACCCCGTCCTAACGGCTGTTGAGGCTTTGCGGTCTTTTCCTCGGCAGAGATCTGCTTAAAATAGAGGAGGGATAGATAGCTCACATACATTTGCATTTACATATATAACATACCAGAGTTATTTTCCAGGTCTAGAAACAGTCGCATTCATGTTTCTACACACTGGCACGCCTACACTCACACACACACACGCACTCACACACTTACAAATGTGTATGTATAGAAATATATATATATATATATATGTATTTATATGTATGTGTACATATATATATATATGTGTGTATATACACATACTGCGCACGTGTGCATATGTTATATGTACACTGTATACTTACATCTAAGTCAGAAGTGACAGGCACACCACGGTGAGAAGATTGACCTGCCGACACCTCGGTGCCTCCGAGCGGTAAGGCCATGCAGCAGCCTCACGTTGCTTTTGCTGTCGTAGGTTTTCGCAATGAACGCGAACAGGCCATTCTTGACAGTATTCACATGGAACAGCAGAATGATGATCTGGGCGCTAAGCTTGAACTGCAAATCAGACAGCGGGATAACACCAGACAGGGAGCCTTCTTCGGGTTCCCGTTCCTGCAATTCGAGGAAAGCTGTCGTTTTGTTCAGGAGCTCAGTCCAAACCACCACATAAATGCGCATATCTGTATATGACACAGACACACGCACGCCCATAGTCAACTTAAGCCACCGTTAACC